ATAGGATATCATATGAAAGGCAGTGCTAGTGTAGAAGTGTGTATGAGCCTAAGTTTTTTTTGCATGCCTTAAGCCTAGTTAGGGAGCTTCCGAAAAATGGTGATGGAAGGTGCTGGAAGAGAACTATTCATTAGTCAACATAAAGCCCGGTCAGAGCAAAATTATATGCAGGAAAAGTTTTCTAAACAGAGGTACGGTGACATTTTACGCATCATCACGAAAGTATTGAATCTGATAGGCTCAGAAATGTTCTCCGATGACTTCGTGAAAATAGGCTTACTCGTTTGCTCCCAAGTTGTATGGGGATTACGTGGTATCGCGTCGCGTTGCGACAGTGGCGGCATCGCGACGTCGCACGTCGGTCTCGTTCCCCAATGACGAATATTCTCACAATATAAGCGTCCTTAACTTTTCCTCACCCTCTCACCTCAGGGTCGCAGCAGTCAGCGGCACGGTCGCGCGCACACACACGTTATAGCGGGTTTTAACCATTTTCGGGGTCGAGCTCACCATCGCCGCTGCACTCTCGCATCATGGTGGACCTGGTCGAGCGATGTGTGAGTCATTGTCGGAAGCGACGTCTTCTGAATCGGGGCGCGCACGTCGGCGCAACATCGCCGTCCCCGTCGTCGCCTCGGGTGTTGTCGAAGGCTGTCGATGCCGACGGGCATTGATTCTTCGATGACGTTCACAAGCGATGTGACTTGATCGCTGTGCGTCGTCCTTAGTCGATCGTTCGCTCTCGCCTTTTATTGTGAGTGATGTGCACGCGGGCGCTCATAAATGTGTCGTATTAGTATAGTGTGTAGGTTCGTGTAGGTATCTGGGCATTCACATCGGTATGTGTGTATGAGTGTGGGGGTGCGTCGGTGGTGTGTGTATGCCTGTGTGGTGCGGCCGGGGGTGACGACCTTGCCTCCCGTACGAGTTAAACGCCTCACAAAACGCTCTGCCATCTTACCATTATATCTTCAACACGGTCGACATGTGTGCAATGTTAAGTGGAGTTTTGGCGGCGGTTTTCCTTTCCAACGAGTTGCAAGAGGTGTGGGCTCGAGTAGACTGGCTGACTTTGCTCATCTGATGTTCGCGTCGGGCTAGACCCTAATAGCCCTCGACTGTCACAGGGGCAGCGCAACCAGGGCCACGAGTCTCGGAAACTTCTGGCTGGAAAGCGTGACTGGGGGGAGAAATCGTTCGCTGGTCGAAGTTGACCTTGCCTCGACACGAGTTAAACGCCTGACACAAAGCGATGCACCACACCACCATCTTACTATTATATCTTTGACATCGCCGACAACCGCTAAGACGCCCGCCAGTCGGTCTTTCAACATCATTTTGACGTCCAATATCAAGTGTTCAATTAGCTATAAGCCTATTTTCTCTGCTTCCAGATCTCGCCCTAATTATGAATATTTTACTACTAAACTAATTATTACAAGGATCGAATGGTTCGCTAGGTCCACCTTCGACTGCGAATTTATCCTTTCGAATCTTAGTTCTCTCTTTTTTGCAACCTGGTTTGCTATTTATTTATTGTTTCAATAACAGATCCGAAGTTGTACGTGAAGTGGTGAAACTTTGTGTGGTTTATTGGATTGAACACATGTTTGAGAGTCTGCAAGTTTCATTTGAAATTATTGATTTTTCATTTTCCGTTTCCGTATTTTGTTTTCGCTTTTCTTCTGTTATAATACAGTACGAGGGATTCATTCTTGATGATTTTTTCCTCTACTGTAATTTTTTCCTACCATTGCCTATCCCGTCGCTCGGTCGATTCAGCGAGAACGTACATATTTACGTATGTTTCTGGAGTTTATTAATATTTATTGAGGGTTTCAATAAAATCTGTAGCTTTAAGGGAGGGTTAGGAAATATATTGCGTTGTTTATTCTGAAGAGCGGCATCTTGGATGCAATTTAAACACTTTGGTTACTTTTTAGTAACACTCAGTGCGATCTTATCACTTTGTAGTGCTTGCCGAACACTCTCCTGTCCTCTCATTCACTTCATTTACTCATTTATTGATACTCATTCCTCGGAAAATGCTTGCTTATTAGGGTACACTTGCGAAGAAAACATAAATTTAGGCCGGTATTCACACAGTTTTACAACTTGAAAAGTGGCGCTCATGTCCTTTGGGGGGGGGGGGGACATCCAAGTGAGTGAGCCAATTACTGTGCTTGGGACTAAGCCTCAGGCAGGGGAAGGGATTCTGTGGGAGTATGCAAGCAATATGTGTGCTCCATGCGTTTCTCCCCTTCTTGGGCTTAGTCCTAGCCCACCTTCAATCGGCCCTGTTGTGAATGTCCCCCCCCCCCAAGGACATGAGCGCCCGAAAAGGGTGAAGATAGTTCGATTATCTTTTCATAGCTCATGCTCATGAATGTCGCTTGCGTTTGGCCAAGATTTCTTCGTAACTGGTTAGCTACCTCGCTTACTTTTGTATTGTGGTGTCATTTTTTATCTATCGTTAATTAGCGTATTGGATTCGATCAATATTGTACAAAAAACTCAAGATAATTGGTTCTTCTAGTTCCTGTTTCAGCACATTGACTGTCTCACTAATTGAACGAGTGGATAAGGTCTTGGCTTGAACAATTTTGGAATACAAGATTCCTTTTTTGCTTTTACTCTCTGGTAATCTTCATTCTGTTTACGACTTCATTCTGTTTTATTTTGCTCTTTCTGAACTTTAATACCAACAGAACTAGGAGACCGTCAATGTTGTGAAGAGGACAATTAATGAAATACGGTACATCTAAGCACATCATAAGGTCATTTTATCTAAATATGAATTTAATATCAGGTCTTGAGCATGTGTAGGTGATTGAGGAGATTCTTTAAAAATACTACACATAAATTCGTTGGATGAGGGGGATTTGATGAAATCGCTCAGGAAATCTCTTTTGATGGCGGCATCCGTAACCACACTCCAGTAGATGAAAAATTTTTCACAGGAACTAGCAGCTGCGACCAACAATCTGCTTCTTTCATTGAGAACTCCACGCATCGTCTCTTACGATCAGGGGGGGGGGGGGTATGTAGTCAGCTAATTACCTCGAACTAGGCTCTAAACCACTTGTGATTCCACACAAAATACATACAATTCTCCTCATTATACCACGTTCAAGTCGCTCCACCTTCCCTTCTTTGCTTACTATATGCTCACTTCGATGACAAGCTCTTGTATAGCTTTATCCAAGACGGGTTAAACTTTTCGCCTATAATGTTTTGCCAAGGTTCTCTGAAAGAAGATATCAGTGAAAAAGCAGTGAATTCCATGCGTCGCACCTAATCATGCTTTGTTCATTTCTTCGTTGTCTTTGCATTTCCATCATTATCAAGTTCTACCAGTTTCGGACATTTATTTAATTTTGTATTTATTTTTTTGCTTTGATAACCTTTGTATCGGTTGTAAGGTTCAACTATTCAGGGGCCAGCACAATATTAACATACTGCTTTTTTCATAGGGTGGCTAAATTTTTCATTCCTACTTTTTCTTCGTTTCCTTCCTATCCTGTGTATTGCTTCACGTTTCACATTCGCAAAACTTGACACTATAATGGGAGAGTTTCCATTTTCAACACATACACCCACGTAGAGGCCACGTTATCAAACTCGTTCCATTGATCTGTTCACATTTGTTGCTTTTTTTCTGTTTTATCTCCGCGTGGCTGTACCATTGTGACGGAAGGAACGTGAACTTTTCTCGTCTGATGTTCAACATTTTCTTGGAATTGACAAGAAGTTAAAAAGTTAAATTCCTCACCGAGTCACGAATTGTCATCATCGTTATCATCATAATTTTATCACTATTCTCTTATTCACGTCGATATTGCACCACCCAACGCATTTTATCTTTACCATTACCGTATTCCATCCCCCCATCGCATGTCCTGTGTGTCATTATTTTGGGCGCCATATTGTCGCTATGGCTTCCGGACCTCACACATACACACACACGCACATACAGTATGATGTGCGTGATGAGTGTGAAAGATTCGCATGTGTATTCATCCAATTACCGACGCAGCGCTCGCTCGTTCGCTAGTCGTTGTGCGCATACTACTGTAATTGTTACTTTGTTTGGTATTTTTTAATTTTATGACCAGCTCACGTCGCTGCAGCGGCCCAGGCGAAGGCGTAGGCGGCAGCAATAGCAGCTATAGTAGTCGGTGAGCGAGATGAGCGGTGAAGAATCGGGGCGCGGCTACGCGACAACGACGGCGTAAAGGTGTATCTTTAACCGTGTGAAAGAGGTCGATAGGTCCGAGTTACAGCTGATGTGCGTGATGTGTGTGTGGCTAGGTAGGTATTCCTGTGTCGATATGACATCAATTGTGAACGCTACGGCACATCACACGATGCGGATTACATAGCAAGTACAGTCATCAGATAGGCGTCGCCGAGTGGCGAAGATAACCGCCGACGCCACCGCCACCATCGTCGCGCTACAACGCCCGCGGCATAATGTTGTCGTCGTCGATGCGCTGTCAGAAGTCAGACATGACGTTCACAGAGAAAATTCGCCGCGAAATCTCCACAGGATTGTAATGCTCTCTCAAGACTTCAGCAGCTCCATCTTCTTCCCCCTTTCTCTTCCTGCACCTTCTGCATCATCAATATTTTTAATTCCGACGAAATTGAAGAACTTTTCCGAACATTGACTTGATCGCTCTCTTTCTCTCCGTCTCTAATTTATGAATGACTTCTCTTCTCCTGCTGACTCATCCTATCTGTCACTGAATACCGGACATCTGTCACAAGTCAAAAATGAATCGAAAGATGAGGTGAAATGATCTTGACGGGGCGCCCCTTGTGACGTCCTAATGTGTGATGCGCTACGAACACTGTTTCTCGTTCCTCCGTGACTCGTTATCCGCCATTTTTGTCGTCTGTTTTAATCGATTCGACACGGTTTCTGATGATTTTTCGATTTTTTTCTCGAGGAACCTTTCGATGTCATTGGTTACTGCGGATTGCACATTCAGGCAGGGATGGCTTCGAAAAAGACGAAACAGCACAAAATGTCGACGGCGGCACCGGGTCCGTCGGTGTGCGAGGTGTTCACCTACGTCGACACGAACAAGAGCATCGATGAGCTGTTTCAAGCCGGACGCGTCAGCGACGGCAAACTGTACGAGAGAAAGCCGAACAGGGTGAGTGATGATGCGGCGCTACTGATAGGCGCGTCGGCAGGCTAGCACGAATACAGATGTTCGTTTCAGAAGTTTCCGATGGCGTATTATGCGCCGAAGCCTCGACCACGTGGCAGTTCGGCTGGACATTCACCTCAGGGTAGCAGTGACGATGGAATGAGCAGCGCTGGACGGAATGCGCTCAGCCCCAGTGGCAGTCAACAGGTAAATAGGAGGTTGAGGAAAAGGGTTCAAAAAGGTGCTCATAGTGAAGTTCCATTGAGGAGTAAGCCACAACCTTACCTGATAAGCGAACAATTGCGATTATAAGATAATCTTCACAGTTGAAACTTCAATGAGAGAAACATGACAGCAAGTTCTGATGGGTCTTCTCAAAATAATGCAGTTTTGTTCAGGTTACATTTCAGTTAGGTGTCTCGAATGTAGCTCTGATACAAAAGTAGACGACCAAAACTCTCAGGATAAAGAGCTTGTATTTTCATATAAGCCCTATTTCACAGTTTATACGTGGGATTTACACCATTCTTAGCCACGTATTTGGATGTTATTTTGACAAAGTTAAATTTACAACAATATGGCTGAAATAGTTTTTTTTTTCAAACTGGAAGTCACCTTGGTGTTCCCTCATAAATTCGCCGCAATTTTCGCAATAGTATATAGAGAGCGCTCTTGACTTGGCCAAGTTTTTCCGCGGTTGAACAATGGCCGCAGGCTTCCTAAAATGAACTCC